ACGCCTGATAAGGACTCGTTCTACAAACCACCCTCGGGCTGGCAACACAAGAAGCCGGGTGACATCCTGGCCTGGCGTGAGATCACGCCCAAGTTCCTCTTTACCGATTTCAAGGTTGAGAAGGCGTACCAAGTCATGTACCGCACCAGCCAAAACACCCCTGATGAGCCATAATACACGGTGACGACCATCCTTGTGCCATTCAATGCGAAGAAGGACAAGCTCATGGTCGGCTCAGAGGCTGTGGATGCGTGTGGTGTGCAGTGTGCTCCGTCATATGGCTACCTGGGTGGTGCCATTACGCAGGACAGTGGAGGCTTCCAGCTGGACGAGGCTGAATTCCTACCGTTCCTCAGCAAGGGATACATCATGACTGTGCCGGACAAAGAAGGCCCGCTCCTTGCGTTCGCTGCTGGCCGCATGGAGGGATACATGACGATAGACAGTGCTCGTGCGACTATCAATTTTGAGCCGCTTGGCCTGTCGAAGGACACCAAGATCGGCATGTACGGCTACTCGGGAGGCGCACTTACGCTCGGCTGGGCAGCTGGTCTGCACCCCGTGTATGCGCCGGAGCTGAATATTGTTGGTATGACGTTTGGTGGTACGCCGGCGAACCTCTCTGGCACCATTGAGTATGCGTCGGGTACGACCTTTGCTGGCTTTATCGTTGCTGGTATTACTGGTATTATCAATGCGTATCCAAAGGCGAAGAAGTATGTCGATAGCGTGCTGCTGCCCAAGGGTCGTGAAGCGATCGAGTATGCGCAAAACAACTGCTGGGTGCAGGTGGTCCTCAAGTACATGAACGCAGACATCAAGGACGAGGGCTGGACGACCAAGGGAGCTGCCGTGTTCCGGGACCCTGTCGTGCAGGAGATCTTTGACGAGTCGATCATGGGTGCGAAGAAGGAGGAGACGCCGACAGCGCCGCTGTTCATCTACCACGCCGAACATGACGAGATCATCCCTGTGCGCGACATTGAAAAGACCGTGGATGTATGGTGTGCGAACGGTGCGAACATCAAGTACACCAACTACAACAATGGGATCCTTGACCACGAGACGCTCGAGGTGCTGGGCATCGGCAAGGCCGTGCAGTTCATCGATGCCCAGATGGACAGCAACTCGCTGGCACCAGGCTGCCAGAAGACCACGTCGAACTCGGTCGCATTCGAGCCAGGTGTGCTGGGTTCCGACTTGGAGGACTTGATGAACCTGATTTGGACTGTGTTTGGCCAGATGGTGGGTCCCAAGGGGCGAGTCTTGAAGCAGAAGGCTGCGGCGGGTCACGATTCGTAGAGTGATGGGGTTAAGACAGGCCGAAGAAGGAATTAATAAGGATTAACGAGCCAACCAACCAGCCGCGTGCGCGCTTACTTGCCAAACACGCGGCGCTCGAGGTACCGCAGAGGTATGTACGTGACGACCGTAAATGCCAACGTGAATTCGTTCGCTATGTCGCCACCGTCTGGGCCAAAGAGCCGGGCCAGAGGACCGACATACCATGTCTCGGCCATGCCCATGACCCAACATACGACACCGACCAGGAACACAACAATGGCAGCGATGCCATGCGGCAATCGATCTGGATCGTTCCAGCCCTCCAGGTCGTAATTGGCAAAGCTGCCTTTGCGGAACACAACATGCTCCATCAGCAGGATCAGAAAGTAGCCTGTGCACCAGTAACCGAGCAGGTCCAAAAAGTTGACAAGGTA